GAACCAAGAATGATAAATACAATTACATCGTTATAAAAACTTACTGAAGTTAGTGCAATAATAAAACAGAAAAATAAACTCATTATTTTAAATGAGCCTCATGTATGGTTGCTAAAGAGGGCAGCAAAAGATTTTTATACCCGATGTGTTTACTATGATTGTTCACAATAAAAACACTTACCACTAAGAACTCTATCTCTGACAGTAGTTTCACGTTATTTGTGTTGCTGAGATGGATTAGGTGGTTGCTTTCTGAAATTTGATCCATTTGCTCTTTTACACTCTGAAGCATTTCTTCATAACTGCTGAGCTTTAGCTCAATTTGGTCAACCTCCTTTAGAGCTTCATCCAGCAACTTCATCAAGATATTCACCTGTTTCTCTGAGGCCATGATTGACTGGATATTTGCCTGTACAGAAAATTAAACGACAACATATTAAGAGGCATTTTTATATCTCAAGAGCATTCTGATATCTCCTTCTGTCTCTATTACTTTCAAATAAACACTCTCCAAAACTCTTTATGGAAGTGACAAAACAATCTAAGCTTGTAGTACTACTCATTGAAAGTGATATTGAACATAGCAGTTCCTCAGTCTATGACACTTATTTCATATAGAAAAGACATAAAACCAAAAACTTTGCTCAAGTTCTTAGAACTGAAGTATTGATCTGCTCAAAAATAAAACCCAAACTGTAATCCCTACTACACTGGAATATTTAGTTCCAGAAAAACAGCTTAGATGATAATGTCGCATTTTCTGTTGCAAGATCAGCTATTTCTATGACAGCAGCCATTTTCAAAATGTAAGAAAAACATACAACTTGACAATTTGAGGAGTCTGTTGACTGTTCCTTCAAGACTGTATCCCCTGCAACTCCTCGTTTTCTAAGTGACCTCTAGAATGCTGGGTTGTTTAAAAAGCAAAGTAGCAAACAGTATGGTACTGTTTCAGACAGCCAAATATTGCAATGTTGTTAGACTAAACCAGTTTCCTAATTACACTGACAGTAGTACTTTAAGCATAAGTGTTCACATCCATGGTCATGAACATCTATTCTTCCGCTCCCTGCACCCCTGCCTTCAAGAAAGGTATACGCAGAATGCCTCCCTTTTTTGTCTCAACTCCTCATTTGAAAGCCTGCAACTCACCCCAGAAGGTCTGGGAGGTAAAAAGCAAAGCTGAAGATCTTTAAAACCCGGCAATAGACAGGACGTAGCTCCACTTAGGAGTGGACACACATTTACATTCAAATATGCAGCAGAACATGTTAGCTACCTTTTCAAAGAACACTACAGAGCCAGTATCAGTGACAACAGTTCGACATGCTAACACACTGTACATCAGAGGAAATGTTTACCCCATCTAGCACTTGTAGCTCTCTCGACAACTTCTCTGCAAAGGCTTCTGCATTAGAAATGGCATATTCACATCCTTCCATCATTATTTCAATATCCTGTTCCTCTCTTGCATTTAACTCCTGATATTCATCCACAGCTTCTTCATCACCTCCTGCTACACTTTGATTTTCTCCACTTGGAACAGATTCTTACGTAGAGAAGGGAAATAAAACACGTTATCAAGTGCAGAAAGTCACAAGCATTTTAAGAGTACTTAAGTATGTTCAACTATCTTTAAGTAAATGAATCCATGCAATAACTTTCATAACAAGCACCTGCTACCTATGTACACCTTTTTCAAGTCTCAGCCTTCCATGGGCTTCATTAAAATTTCCACAGTTGGTTCCCAACAGCAATGTTTTCCAAATTATGCAACATGAGCAAAATACAAACAGCCACCTTCCTTCACTGCATGTACAAAGGGACATACTGACGCAGTTTATTCACACCTCATGCTGGTAATCAACATCAGAATACATCACAGCATTGAACTAGACTTGTTAGCCAAAGATCAGTAGAAGTCAGATTCTCTCTTTTGTTAGAGCATAAGGGAAACATACTAATGTTGATTAAGAAACATATCACTGAATAAATAAAAGCTATCTTGATGTTCAAAATAAGTTTCACAGCAGGAAAATTAATACGGAGGTAAGTGAAAATTATATAACAAGGTTTCCATGAACTATGATTTCTCACAGCAGTGCTTGCTTAATTCAACAAGCCATTCAAAGGCTGACAAACTATTTACAGAACATTAATGCAGTCCAGACAGAAAGCATTTAGGACATTTGAAACATCTCTCTCATCTCTAGCAACTTGATAAGCTATCCAGACCACTATTTAAAAAAGAAAAAGAAAAAGCATAATTGCTTACAAAGCAAAATGAAGGAAAAAGGCGTTACGCACCTTCTGCAACTTTAGGCAGTTCTGAAGAATTAAAAGGTATGGAAAAGCAGAAGAAAGGAAGCAGAGAATGTTAGCTAGACAAAGCATGAACAGTGTGTATATTTTAAAGTGTCAGTAAGTTTGAACATTTTAATATTGCACAAACTTGAAAAGTTAGAGGTTGGTTAAAAACAAATTCCAGTCAAACACCAAAATACATAAATGTTATCCTCCCTGGTTTACACCTCTAATTCCAGTTCTTCTGCACAAGCAAGTCTAGTATTTTGTATCGACAGTTTAACCACTTCTGACAGACTCAACGCAAAATATGCTTACTCATTAGGCCTTACTAAAATTTTTTTACTATTAAAAGATCATGTGACTGTAAAAATACTTAATATAGCCTGAACAAACGAGATACAAAGCCTTCTTCGCAACCAGTCACATAAACTGTAATAGGGTCCAGCAGAATTTAACACATTCTTCACAGTTTATAAACTAGAAATTTCATATAAAACCTCATATCACCTTTAGCATGCCACTGAAGTGTCACTTTTTAAAGCACTTTTCTAATACGAGGGAAATGAAAATAGGAACAAAAGTGTATTCTTTACACATTTAGACCTACCAGATTTTGCAGGTAGATTTTATTTTGTTCAAGAAAGAGAATGTCTTAGAAATATAATAAGCTTATCAATATTTAGAACGTTATTAATGAAGTATTTTGTCTGTTCTCCGTTTTCTAAGAGAAACTATGTTATCTAGTCACCTTGTTTATCTGAAGATTTAGAAAATATAAAAGAATAAGATTGAATAGGAAAAAAACACCAGGATTAAGATTATTTTTTTAGTATATCCGTTTTACAGAAATAATTATTAAACTTCATACTTAACATACAGTTGTAGAAATCTACCTTCCAAAAGCTGTGAACTGACATTAATAAAGTCAATTTTCTTTCTAAGATATCTCTGATTGAGTTTCCAGATACATGAAATGAAGGTGTTCTTTTCCACTGTGCTGCTTGCAACCCATTTGTACACTTTGTCAAAATGCAAGTCAAATTCAGGATTCTCCTGCAAAAGATGAGATATGTTACAGGCTCAACAGTCAAACGATTTTGTGAGCAGCAGAGATTGTTTACACATTTAATTATTGAGATGACAGGATAAAAATGAAATTGCACAGATGCCAACCTTAAGCTGGTACACCAACTCTGGCACCCTGATGCACCTTAACAAAGGTGCTAAATCACTCAAAATGAAAAACCAGAATCCACGCTATGAAGACACCATTTTTCAAGCCAGATAAGGCAACAACAGCACGTAACGTGGAGATCTGTAAGAGTTTCAACAAACATTTGACAGTGCTGTCTGCCCTGAAACACTGTCCTCGGAATGACTAAGCCTTCTGAAACTAAAAGCGGTAGCTAGAACTACTGACAACATATACAACACAATTCAAGGAGACTTAGGGGAACAGGCAAGAGAAAAAAATTATGAGCACTTTATTTATAGATATGATAGTTTTTGATAGCACTGAACAAGACAGAAAAGACCATTTGGTATTTTAAGGGTAAAAACCTACTGTAGAAGTATTTTCAATTAGACTTATTGCTTGATGAGAACATTTCTTTGGTAACAAATGAATAAAGTACTTTCCTTTCTACAGCCACTTACGAATTCAGTATAGACTGTAACTGGTAATAGCCTATTTAAAGATCATATTACAAGCACTTTACAAGGTCCAGCCTCCTTCTGATGAAAAATGTTATTGCCTCAGATACATGTTAAATTCTCACTTACACATAGTTTGTAAAAAACACTATTGCTGCTACTTATTACTTATATTGTCACTACTCTCTGTAGAAGCAGGCTGCACATGAAACCACATACGATGGGAAAATGGTACTTCCTGTACGGTGCAATAGAAGCAGTTCTGGTTTTTTTTCTGTAGCTTATATTGATAAATACCATTACCATATATTTCTAAACAAACAGTATCACTACATACAATTTGAGTTGTCTCACAACTAGTGCAGTAAAGGCCTGTGTCAAAAGAGTTGCACAGGATCACATTTGGAAACCAAAACACGATGCACCTATCAACTTTTAATTCTGACATTTTGTAACACAAGAGAGTTTCGCATTCAATATTTGGTTTTTTGAAAGAAAATTTAAAAATCGCTCAGAGTGGTATATACATTGCAGCGTATTTCTGAAACCAGCTGACAAATTCTGTTTTGAAAAAAAAAGCCCTGAGACAGTATAATTTTAAACAGAACCTTAACTTGGAAGAAGCAATTCTCCAACATGGTATTTAGGATCAGCAAGGAAAATCTAAAACCTAGACAACAAGTATGTGAACAACAGAAACAACAAAACCTATTTAACCTACACCTGGGGAGAGGGAAATCAAAGAATTTTCAACTCCGTAGCTCTGCACTATTCTTCCAAATCACCAGTAACAGAATATAAAACCAGATATCACATGATGAAGAATTTTCACCTCTGCCTGTTTGTGTATCCTATTTTATGACAACAAATGAATTTAAATCGTCAAAAATAGGTCGCTGTTGTTGTTCTATGGAAAAGAACACCAGCTCAGGACTGTATGCCTTCCAACAAATGGCCAACGTCATGATTTAGAGAACAGACTATAAGAGCACACCTTCAAGCTTATATGCCGCTCATTAAGAATGTTTTAAGTGTCCTAGCAAAAAACGTTACATGTAGCTCAATGTCTTTAGTAAGACAGTCCTAAATTTTTTAGGGAGAAAATAAGCGTGTAGTAAAAATTTACATAAGACTTAAAACAAAAGAAGTACTGGTCCTTAGCATAAGCACTCTATAGTCACTGAGAGATCACTACAATAAACAGGGCAGATATGCTTGAATAGCAATACTCTGAATATCTAGACTGCTCTTACTCAGTTTACCAGAACTATATTCTTGGAAAGGCTGGAAGAAAATGCAGACATAAGCAGCACAGGAATGTATCATCCTAATTCCTAATTAATGTGTAATCAATCTAAGCTTTAAAGCAGTATCAAGGAAGTTAACTAACTCGGAACCAAGAGGATCTTCTGAGCAGAGTGCTAAAACCAAAAAGTTACACATACTTTAACAGCATCTTTGGCATCAACAACAGCAAGATCTCGAAGTGCCCATGCAGTCTGCCTTTTGTAGAAATCTCCCTTGTCAGATTTTTTCACTTTTACCACATTTACTTGCACTGGTCGTTCCGTTGTCACTGTTAAATGAAGTAAAAGAGCAATTTCAAAATGTACAAATTACTTCAACATCTGTGGCTGCTGTACTTCAACTTCTGAAATTAATTATTTGCGGGGGAGATTTAATAATATTTATTTGATGAAAAGAGACCCTTTGAAATGTTTTCATCTACAATATCCACAGCTCAGTTTAAGTCTCAGTCAACCAGCTTGTGAAGTAATGAACCCAAATTTACAGACATTTCTTTGACACAGCAGACCTCAGACCACAGGCACGTAACTGTCAAAGCACAGAGGTAACTGGAGATCATAGTCAGAATAAAAACATTTTCTGAGATTTCTCAGTCAAATAATATTCTAGCAAGCTAATTTATTGACAGATCGACCCAAAGCACTTAATTTTTTGAAGAGATGTAATATAAATGCACATACACTCAAAGGAACATTAGAGCTCAGTTCAGTTACTGTGCCTTTCCAGAGTCCTCTCCCTTGGACTCCAACCAGTACCCTCTGATGCATTTTATATTCAGGCTGATCAGCCTAGATGCCTACTAAATCCCCTTTTAAGCACTATATAAAGCCTGCATCAAAAGTCCACCAATCCCACACAAATTTTGATTCTTTCATTTCAAATTACAGTGAGATCTGGGAATAAGTGTACAGGGTTTTTTTTCTTTTTTAGTAGATCTAACAATGGAAGTATAAGGTACAACTGATTTTCTCCATCAGAAACAGAAAGCACCTGTTTCATATGGGGCAAGAATAAATATCATAAAGACAAATGCAACTGAATAAAAAACAAAGGTGAAGACAAGAAATACAGTGTGGTATTACTATGTACCTGTGGCACACAAAAAGCAGTTTCTCTTCTTTTTGCCTGCTTTGCACACGTTCACAATGCTCAACAAGCGTTCATCATTAGGAGTGAAAATATCCCTCTGTAAAGCATGCTTGATTGCAGTCATTTTCTCTCACCTGAAAGATTTTAAGAAGTTATAATACATTCAGGCACGTTTAACACACACACACACAAAGCACCAGTCATTTACTTACAGCAACTACAGTTTTTTGAAATTAAATTTTACAGGTAACTTAATGAATCATAATCTAGACAAGGATGATCTAGGTAAAGACCAGCCCACTTTAGGAAAAAGTTCAAGATAAAGCTTACTATCTTACTTCAGTTAGACAACTGTAAGTTGTCAACACTAGGATGATCCTTCTGCTTAATTTAACAGAGAACAAAAAGCTTCTTAGTAGTAAAGTGGAATGTGAGGCATTAACAAAAAAAGTTGAAATGGTAATCAAGAAAAATGACTCCCTCATTAAGTAGTGGAGTTTCAGAATGGGTACAAATGCCGTGGATCCAGTAAAAATGTGTATGAAGACAGGCGAACAAAAAAACCCTACAAAATTTGACAGGATGGAGAATGTGAAACTAAAGTCACTACACTGATGACCTTAAATGAAACTTACAAGTCCAGAATCCTTCAAATATACCTAAAACCTTCACTTAAATTTTCAGGACTCTTTCACCAAATAAAGGTTATGTGTTGGGCAGATCAAATTGAAAATAATGTTCCATTTAGAAGGAGAAAAAGTGTTTCTGGCTCCCTGCTTTGCATGAAGATTTCTGGAATGTATTCTGGATATGGTATGTCATAGCAGTCATTCAATCCACTGCTCAAATGCCACAATTTCAAGTCTCACAAATTATTACTTTTGAGTGTTGTTGTATCTCATACACATCCTAATTCTCTTCTGGCAGAGGGAAAAATCATTCTGATTCAAGATCAGTGTCCCTGCCTGCTTCCTCACTCCCTCCTCCCTTGGTATCACAAGAGAAATTCTAAATTAGTACTTGATCCCATGTTACGAGAACATGCTCAGGTATCCTGCTCAAACAGCTTTCTTAAAGCAGAGTAAGTACATCATCACATTCCATTTGGTGGCAAAAGAACCCCAAACCAACCAAACAGAAAAAAAAACAGTCTGTATTAGAGTTTTCCCAGGTTTGATACCTCTGTAAAGAACATTTGTGGTGGTTATCCACTGTCAAATTCATCATTGCCAATTCCTGGAGAGTTACTAGAAAATTATTAACATAAGAGTTGCACCGTGTTTATAACTTAACTTCAGCCAGCAAGCAGGCATTACTTATTTTTTTAATTAATAAAAACACAAGACATTGCAGAGGGCCCATGTAATAGAATTTAATAAATTTTTCTTAAGTTAGATTTATCTTCTGGATGTTGAAGTGCCTTTCATAAAAGCTTCCTTATAACAAAACAGCTCCTGGAAGACACAAACTATGGGGACAGGTACACACCTAAGGCAACAAATCTCTGAGCTTCTAGAAATACAGCATTGGGTTTCTTTGGTTTGTGTTTTCATGTTTTGCAAAGACTTGTTTCACTGCTCTTGCCCGCTGCCACATACTATTAAATGTAACAGACTGTTCTTCCTCTTTATCCTCTAATGCAGGTCTGGCAATTGTTACACTAACGCAGAACAAAGAAATGCATCTTTGTAGCTGGTAGAAAGTTCAACTTCAAGGCCATCTAGATCTGAAAAGGCCACAACACAATTTTCCAAAGATAAGTCCATCAGGTTTGACTAGTTCACTGCCTTTTCTTGGATGCATGAACTGGAACACTTTTAATTGTGGAGTTTCTGATCTAGCAAGGGAGTAACAGGATATTTCAAAAAGAGAAAGAAAGTAAGCATGTACACTTAGCAATAAATCCAGACATTTCCTCTAGGAATCAAGTGCTGACCTTGAACCCCGTACTCTAACCAAATGCTAAGAAAGACAGACTTCTGCTTCAGTCTCATAGCCTGTAACAGCAAACACAGGAGACCGTACAAGGCCATCAGGGACTGCCCTTTACACCTTCTGGTACACTGGCAGATACACTTTAATCTCAATGACGTAGCCACACATCAAATCAGACCATTAGGTTTCATAAATGAGGTGCATCCACCATTAACAGCAGAAGTACTTTCCTAACAACACCCAAAAGTTTGTTTTCTAGTTTTTGTCCTCATTAAGACTGGAGTTTCCAGGTGATTTGCGGGAGGCAAAGGAGCAGAAAAGAAGGTAGAGAGAGATTGGAAGGGGTGGGGGGGATACCTGTTTACAGCCTGTCCCTTTAAGTGATTCACCTCTGCAGAAAGAGCAGCCAGCAGTGGGAGAAGCAAAGGGTGAGAAGAAGGGGCTGTAAGGAAAGAAGGCTGTTCAGATTTGCAGGATGTGTTAATAATCAGCTTGTTTAAAAACATTCAGCAAGAGTTCTGATTTTCTTTGGCGATGCCTTCAAGTAAGTATGCAACATGCCCGGAGGAAAGCATTTCTACTTCTAACATGTTCAACCATGATGAAGAATTTGTAGAGGTAAAATAAGACCAACATTAAACTACCATGCACCAATCAAGAAGAGAATCCTAAGTAAGTCACAAAATTCTGAAAGAGACTTCTGAGCTAGATTTCAATATAATCACCTGGTTCCCTAGCAGAGCATGGTCTAGTCCCCACGAGATTCTAGTAATCCGGGGGGGGGGGGGGGGCGGCGCGGGGGGGATGGGACAACACTGCCCAATAGTCAAGCTTGCAGAGATTGATCATATAAAAAAAAAAAAAAACCAAAACACAGAACAAAAGCAGAAACACAAAGATCCAGAAAATTAAGGAATTAGCAATATTCACCTGATTCAGAACAGTTCCTTACACTACAGAGAGACTCTAGGTAGACTAAAAAGAGCAACAGTTAGGTACCACATTTCAATGCTTCTATTTAAATACAGAAGCTTCAATATTACTCTGAACTTGTGCCTTAAAATTCTATAGTGTATTAAAAACATGATCAATATGCATCACAGGCTACACTGCCTCATGCTGAGACAACACATAAGAGTTAAATTTTAGGCTGGATTTTTCTCCTGAAGATGCCTGGATTGCTTTCTCTGATGAACACGCAGCAAAGAAAAAAAATGTTCCCTTGTCATTTGACATAATAAAAGGCACCGAGTTTTCTTTTAGTCTTTTACATCCCGCTATGCCTCAGCTCAGCTGGCCACCACCACATCTCTCATCTTGGGCAACCTGGTAGTTTTAGATTAGTAATCCAAGGGCTTTGGGAAAAAAAGGGCCAACACACCAACCTGGAATCAGCGTTGTAAAGTCTACAGAGCTCAGGGCATTCAAATAAATGCTGTTTATATGACACCCTTATGGCAAAGCAACACTCCATAGCTGCTAAACAATTTTCCTGCCCTTTCATCAAATGTTGGGCCCATCTTTTGTTTCCCAAATTGCAACAGGTTGTCATTCCTGTTACTCTTCAACAGGCGCATAAGATGAACACACAAAATACCAACAACCTGCTGCATTTCAGAAATATTCCCTTTCCTTCCCAATTTAGGATGTTACTTTCTGCTCTAAATCATGTTCAGACTGCCGCAACTTGCTAACTCTCCCATTCCAGTGCTAGCCCAAGTTGTCCAGGTTGTGCAGAATATAACTTTCCCCTAAAACAGAACATGTTAAACACAAGACCAAAGGCTTGCTCTGACATACAGACTAACTTCTGCTACAAACTCAGTCCCCTTAGTCACAGCCACCAAAACTTTCACGACGTGCCAGGACCAAGCACATCACTAAGTTCTTCACACATGAATCCTACTGTCCCAACAGAACACAGAATTAAGCAGAGTGCTGAGACCACATCAGTCTAACAAATCCCTTTAGACATTGCTGCATTTCTTCCCCAGTAATGTTATAGGCAAAGCCACAGCTACACAAAATCTCTCAACACCACATCACAGACACGGCCTGTCCGGGAAGGAGACAACAGAGCAACGGGGTACAGCTACTTCGTGAGCACTGCTTAGCCCAAGCATGTAAACAGGAAAGCACGCTACTTCTGCATCCGACCGGGTTATAACATAACTTGAGAGCGTGGCCTAACTGTAACATCCCCGGGAACGCCGTTCATAACCAAAAGTCGATCAAAAGATCAATCATTTAACAGAAAATCTCAGAAGAGCTATTTATAGAACCGGCAGCCTCCCAAGGGCCCGCCTGGCACCAGCTTCATCG